CTTTATAACAAGAAAATGTTAAAATGAAGAAACTTTTTAATGGCTTCATAATTTACGTTTCTTCGATATTGTTGCTTACTTCTACTTTATAATTGTCCATTTTGTTATTTTCTTTCATTCTGTTTGCAAATTATCTCCATTAATCCATAGAAAACAGGCAGTATACGTTTGTATTTCTTCGTATTTCGAACGCGCACTCCTTGAAGGCAGCCATATTGCCGAATATAAACATCCACTTGATGAATAAACTTTTCATATTTCACTCTATTTCCAACGACCAATCAAATCACTTCTGCTTCGGCTTGTCCCAGGGCACAAAATAGAGAAGGGTAGCCTGCTCACAGGCTCTATTATATAGAGCCTGCGACTTTTATTGATATTTTTTCAATACGCCCCCTTTGAGATAATTGAATATCCGGTAAATAGTAGCCAATCAAAGCAAGTTTTGTTAATTAGATTACCAGAGGTTATTAACAACAACAAACAGTTTCTCGCGCAATTTTACGCCTGTATCTTTCACTAGGATTCCAAGGTCTAAACTTTAATCTAAAATAATTCATGGTCGTTTTTTCCCTAAAGTGTTCTAATATTTAAAACATAGTCCCGTTTGTATATTGCTGTCTTGTTCGTACATTGCCGTTTTAAATTATGTAACTATACTACAGAGACGTAAAATTTTACTCTCTATTAGTTAATGTATTTTATATATTTATATCCAAAATATAACTGTAAGATTTAAGGAAACGTATTTAGGTTTTGAACAAAGTAACAAACACTATTTATTAAAAGTGTCGAACAATAGCAGGCTAAAAAACAACATTAATCATTATTGCGTGAAGTCTGTCATTTGCTCAATAATACAATTAACTCAATAGACAATAGACAATTTGAAAACCCGTGGCCGTGGCATCGATTCTGCCGTGTTTAATAACTACATTTTTTTTGTAAAAAGCTCTTGTTGTAATAATATATGTCACTAGTTGAGACTCCCAAAAATAAAGTCTCAAAGAGAGAGCGGACTTCGGTCAAAAAACACGCAAACGACTATTGCAAAATTTCCAGGTGTAAATTCAAATTGGCCAGGTGTTCTAAGAACGACTTTCCTCGACGGCGTCTGTTTTAATAATTTGCCCCGAGGATTTGCCCATTGTCTTGACTTATTCAAGACCAGATTGTTTAGGCAGAAAGCCTTGGGTTGACAGGGAAGTATTTGGGAGAAATGTTCGGAGGCATTTGACAATCAACTGCTTTATACTAGCTGATTCACTGCCTGTGTCTCAACGAACGTCTCGCTGGGCTAACCTTAAGTTGTTCAACGTTTGAAACCGCAAGTGATGCAAACGCGGTTAGATAAATTGTCAGCCTGAACTAGACTTATTTTACTCTCTCTGCAAAGATCAGCAAGGCATACGTCGAAGTTTTCCCTTGTACTTCTTTGGAAAAGGTTTATTATTAATATAGCTGACGAAGACAAAGTATCGGTATATTACATGTAAACTTTTATCAAATCCCGTTGGAAGTACAGTTAATATTGCTAACCTTCGCTCATCCTTCAACGTTAATTTAAATTGAAAGGTTTCTCAAATACATTCAGTTACTTCTTCGAAGAGATAAACAAAGTCATGGTTTTATACGCCACTGATTGAATGCCAGCTTTAAAATTACATTGCGAAATGTCGTACGAGTTAAATATTTGCACGATATTAACTCATGGGGCACTTCTGACCAATGGGAATTTTGCGTACGCTCCGTACGCATAAATCGACTTTTTACTAATAAAGGTCGCAGGCCGTTCCTCCCATGCAGCCTCTGCCTGACAACGGCCTGCGAGCAGGCTAAGAGAAGGGCAGAAGCTTCACTCGAGTCGGAACCTTTGAAGTTTTTGTGCCGGCACATGTTACTTCCGGATCCTGGCCGCCATGTTGAAAGCAACCAACTCTGGTCCAAAACATTATAAACTAATATGGCGAAACTTGTATTTCATAACTTTAAATGGGTATATCGTCGTTACTTTATGGTGGATGTCATTGAAATTTTCAGGACGTACAAAAGAAAGGTAGATTATTCATTTTATTGTAATAAAAGCTTATTGAATGATGCTAAAATTGTCATTTTAAACGCAGCAAACTGTATGTGCTGTTTTGGCACCGATGGATATATACGCATTTATATGTTGTTTTTCTGAGTGTAGTTTGAAACTATTGCAACTACTAATCCACTTAACTTGAAGAAAAATGCGTCATATCTTGTTTTTAGAACGCAGTAGGTTGAATTTTTTTAATTTTAGGCGCATATTATACTGTGAATATCCTTATAATTCGTACTACTATTCGTACTAAATTATATACCTGATCAGTGAAAGGGGATGTGATGTCTTTGTATTGGGCTTCTTTTCTTAATTAACAAAAACGTTTTTGGACTAAACTAAGTAAACTGCACGAGTAGAATCCATTTTCACCAGAACTGGTTTATAATTTGTAACTTTGATATTAAACTTTGATTGCTGGTAACAGTAATGAGTACGATATTTGTTCACATCTGTATCAAGCAATTGATGGTGGAGCAGACTAACTTGCCAGAAGTTACAGTTCAGGACCCAAAATTGCAACACACCAATCTCATGTAGATTTACTCAGCAAGCACCATCTTAATTAATGATTTCACCTGTTATCAATTACCATCGGCATTGT